TATATTTAAGGGTTAAAACTTTGATCCACATCAATCATCAAACATCTAATCCGAGTATAACAATTACCAATATCACTTGATTGTTCCCAAGTGTAATAAGTGAGGGAAAGGACCGGTCCAAAGTAGTTGCAGCCACTGTCAAAATCCAAGGAGCAGTGTTTGTCACAGTCTGAACTGCAGGGCCAGAGTTACCACCTGAACAAACAACTGTAATACCCTTTAAGACTGCGTAGAATCCACCAATAGCTATCCCATCGCGAACAGCGGTTTCTTGGTACAAAAGAACTCGATAGCCGATAGACAGTGACAAAACATCCGATCCACACCATCATGCATAGCTTCATCCATAGCTTTCAAGAGGTCAGAAGATGAACAAGTCATTGTGTCTCGGTTATCAAGATACCAACAAGCCTTGTACATTTCTATACGAGCACGCGGTGCCCCACGTCTCACAGTCCCTCCAGCTAACCCCTTGTAGCTTATGTTGGGCACGTACGAACCACCAGCTATGATGGAAACGTGTGTGCCATGGCCGCTACGGTCTCTAGGGGAAATGAAGTCAAGTGATTATGTGGAGTTGAAGCTTTCATACGTCGCAAGAAAACCATTGATAAAGTACTTGGCTCCTATGAGCTTTTTGTTACAGTGAGAGACGTTGAACATCTCTCCTGATTCACAGCCTCCTTTCCAGTGGCTTGGAACCGGTCCAATCCCATTGTCAATAAAGACTTCAGATTCTGGCCAAACTCCTACAACCACATAAAATGATTTATTGATTGAGATAAATCAAAAGCAGCAGGAGATTGTAGATGAGATAAATATGTACAAGTATATACACTCATACATGTGTCTACAATGCCTATGATAACTTCTTCACCCATATTAGTGTCATTTAGAAAAAAATTCGGATTAGCCGGGGAAAGGCCTAAGTACTCCCAAGTCCGAGTTGTTGCCAGTTCGTAGAAACTATCTGGCGTGACATGAACAACTTCAGGTAAATCTGTTGCCAAAGAGTGTTAGCAATGAAAAAAAAAATCAGATTCGCTTGTTGAACCAATCAATATGTTAGGACTTAGTACCAGCAATCTTCTTGGCTTGAGAATTGGTAAGCTTGGCCGCAAAACTTGAGAAGCCATGTATGTAACTATGCACCATTGAACTATGGGCGTCTTCTTTACTGTAACATGAATGATGAAGCCAGAGCAAGAACCATGAGTATACAAATTGAGAAATTATATAACAAGGGAGAAGCTACTCTTACATACCACATACCTTCCAAGAAGTGACCACAACATCTGATGATGAGATTGCGTGACAAACTTGGGATCATTATGCTGCTTCTCACCCAAATACACTATATGAACCTATTATTGATTATCACAACATAACCAACTTTGTTAGTTCTATTATTGGTTTCTTTTTATGTTGCTAATTATCAAGTACCTTGCTCTCAGCACCGGCTTGACCATTGAGAAATATGACCAGACTTAGTACCACAAGGATTAATGTTCTGTAATTCCTCATTCCAAGCAGAAAGACGAAGGAGAGAGAGAGATAATTCTAAAGAGGGAGGATAAGCAATTATATAGATGTTTCCTGAAGATGAGTTTGATCAAGAATGTTTCCATTTCTTGGAACTTTTCTAAGTTTTGCTTGTTTGAGTTTCCTAAGTTTCATAATATTCAGAATTGCAAATCTAAAGCTAAAAGTCCACACACACAAACAAGAAAAAAACTAAAGAATGTATCAAGCTGTGTGGCTTAGACGTCAACTAAAGTCTAATTTATTGCAACCAACAGACAATGAAGAGATTGATACATCAAGTATATGCAGAACAGATGAATCAACAGGGAAAATTTACTTGGTGTACGTAGACTGTAAACTCAATTGTCCATGCTTAGTCAAATAAAACTTGAGGTGTAAGCATGCATGAATTAGTACACGATGACCAAAGAAACTTGTTTTGCTAGTTTCATTTGGTATATTCCATGCTTATTACTTAGCTCTATATAAATCAGAAAAAGTCAAAATTCAGAACAAGTCTCTGGTCTTGGAAGCATTGTAATTTTAAGAAACAGATAAGATATTTGGTCAATGGTGATATCAGAATGCTCTCTACAACAAAAGGATTTGCTAAATTATGTTAACTCTTTTAGCATTGTCATAGCGAATGTCGAGGCAACAAATGAGTGAAAATACAATATAAGTAGAAGCTCAAAGTCAGTTTTATTCGTTTCAATTCTCATCGTAGTAGTTTTGCATAATTTGTGTTCTCACAGATACAGGGATTGCCACATAATGCACAGAGTCACTCCAAGTCAAGCTTCCAAAATAGTAACCTGTATCGATTTTGTGGGTGGTCGAGACTCTCACACTGAAAGAGACCCTTTTGGTCCTCGAACACTAGTTTCTTTGGCGTCACGGTCACTTGGAAGCCCAACGGTGCCTCAACTGCTACTTTATAGACCGACTTGAGTGGTCCAACGTTAGTGACGGTTCTGATTAGAGTGACTTCATCTTTAAGATTCGGGATTGTGATGGAAGGCAAATTTAAATCAAGAACTGATGGTCTGGGATTCGAGCCAGACTGTTCCATTACCGACAAGCTGAGAGATTGATGAATCGTTGTAACCAACAGAGCACATGTAGAGAACATAGTCTTCAACGTCCAAGTCATATACAAGACCTGGGTTTGCAGCTTTCTCTGGATTCACAAGGCCTCCACCATAGTCGAACGGATCAGCTAGCTTCTGAGGTGACCCTTCAGCAAAAATATGCTCTCCAAATGGATCAGTTCTCCAAGCTGCAGAGTAATTGAATACGCTTATCAGAGATCAGTATTGTTCTAGTGGAGCTAATTCGATTGATTAGGTGAAGAAGATAAGAACCTGTGGTGACAATGACTGATCAATGGCAGCAGGAGACCAATCACGGTGCAGAGCTTTGAGAAGTGCAACAACTCCTGAAATAGGAGCTGCCATTGATGTTCCAGACATCATCATGAAACCTTGATCATTGAAAGTGGAGTGAGTGGTTGTAGCCGCCAATATGCTCGCTCCTGGTGCTGCTATATCTGGCTGCATTCATATGATTGATAACATCTGAGGCAAGATAATTTGATGGGTCTGAAAAAAAAAACAAGCAACGATTCTGTACTTTGAGGATCGCAGATTGAATCGAATTAGGCCCTCTTGATGAGAAAGTTGCCACCTTTGTACCAACTGGTTGTCCAACAAGTGTTTTAGAAGGCTGTATCTTCACAACAGATGATCTGCAAACCACAAGTCCAGCGAAGCATAGTCTCAGATACCATCAAGTACTTGTTTTTCTTACAGTTCTAAGTAGTGAAGATCTTAGTCTATATTTTCATACCCACTGGACCGTATGTAGAGAGGTATATTAGTCCCGAGCTCGTAGTCGAAATATAATTTGAGAACAATTAATATATGCCATATTTCTGGTTGTTACCAATATGGTTTTATTGTTTCCAAGCGTAACAGGTGTGGCAAAGGACCGGTCTAGAGTGGTTGCAGCCACAGTCACGATCCAAGGAGCCGTGTTGGTCACGGTATAAGCCTCAGGGCCAGAGTTACCACCAGCACAAACAACTGTGATACCCTTTAAGACTGCATGGAATGCTCTAGTGGTTATTGTATCGCGAATATCAGTTTCGCCATAAAGAGGAACCCAAGAGCCTAGAGAGAGAGACAGAACATCAACACCATCATGAATAGCCTCGTCCATAGCTTTCAAGATGTCAGCAGATGAACAAGTTAATAGGCCTTCATCATCCACATACCAACAAGCCTTGTACATTGCTATATGAGCATGCGGTGCTCCACCTCTCACAGTCCCTCCAGCTAGGCCCTTGTAGCTTATGTCGGTCACAAATAAACCGTCGGCGATGGTGGCAACATGTGTGCCATGACCATCAAGGTCTCTAGAGGAAATGAAGTCAAGTGATTCTGGGAGTTGAAGCTTTCATGGCTCGCAAGAAAACCATTGATGAAAGACTTGGCTCCTATAAGATTTTTATTGCAATGAGAGGCATTGAACATCTCTCCTGATTCACAGCCTCCTTTCCAGTGGCTCGGCACAGGACCAATCCCGCTGTCGTTAAATACTTCAGATTCAGGCCATACTCCTACAACAACAAAAACATATTGGTCATAGAGACTCTAAGAAGAGGAAACAAAAGCAACACACGATGAAATCTACAATGTAATGAGCAGAGAAGAAACCTACAAATAAACATTTGTATCTGTGTCGATAATGCCGATGATAATTTGTTCACCCATATTAGTTTCATTTAGAAGATTCTTGGGATTGGCAGAAGAAAGGCCCAAGTAGTCCCAAGTCCGAGATGTTGACAGCTCGTAGAAACTATTCGGTACGACATAAACAACTTCAGGTAAATCTGTCACCAAAGAGAACTAGCAATGAACAAAAAAAAACAGATGGGCATTTCAAGACAATCAAAATGCCATGTAATATATGCCGTAGGTGTATAATTTCTTAGAAGCCAAGAAAATATGAGAATAAGAACGAGTACCCGCTAATTTCTTGGCTTGGGATTTGGTAAGCTTGGCCGCAAAACCTGAGAAGCCATGTCGTTAACTGTACACCATTGAATCATGAGCATCCTCTTTACTGTAACATGGAACAAACAAAAGAAATCTGAGTAACATTTTGAGACAATATTATTATACTTGAGAAAGAGAAACTACCCCGACATACCTTCCAGGAATTGACCGCAACATCTGATGATGAGATTCCGTAACAAACTCGGGATCATCATGCTGCTTCTCACCCAAATACACTATACGAACCTATTATTGATTATCAGAACATAACCAACCAACCAACCAACAATGTTAGTCTCTGACTCTATGTTTATGTTGTTTGATGAAAGAATGACCTTCTGTAATTGTTATGTACCTTGCTCTGGACGCCGGCTCGTGCCACAAAACTGCCCTGCCCACTAAGAATTATTACCAAACTTAGTACAACAAGAACTGATGTTCTGTAATTCCTCATCCAAGCTCAATTTCAAGAGAGAGAGATATGTAAATGTCATTCTAAGGAGGGAGGATGAATAAGAATATGTATAGATGACTCCTAAATTGAATTGTGATTGAATTGTTCCCTAAGTTCCATCATTGTCAAACTTACAAAGTTGTTAATATTATAACTAGACTAATAAGTAGCCTCTAAATAGTATATCAAAAAAGTTGACAGTGATTGATTGGTCAACTAAAGTCTAGTTTATTGCAATGTAATGAATCAAACACAACTAACTAACTAACACATAGCTAATTGAGAATGGATGATGATTTATATAAATACCTCAACAAGTGGGTAATCACGGCACTAGGAAGTAATCTGCTCCACGATCTTTTGTTGATTTCATAGCATTACTATGAATCTTCCTTTTAGCTCCATAGAAATCACAAGAAAAATACTATAAAAAAAACTTATGCATTTCAGAAACGACTTTGGTTAAAGCTAGCTTCTCAATGCTCTCTGCCAACACCTATAAATTTTTCCACGTAAAACTCAGTTCAGTTCAGTTCAGTCCAGGTGCAAATCCTTGATGTATATATATACAAACCCTATCATTTTACTTGGCGAGTTTCAAGAAAAGGACAAGAATTTGAAACAGAAATACATCAAGGATCTGCACATGGACTGAACTGAGTTTTTGGGTAATTTGCACGGTGGTCGATACATTTCTGGGCCGGCGAAAAGAATAATTTGCTCAGATCCATTGTGGTAAGGAGGAGCCGACGATCTGGGGAAGGAGAAGGAGTGTGGGTCATGGCTTGCTTATTGGGCTTCGACTTCTTTTGATTCATAATGGGCTTTATCTAGAGCATCAAAATTAAGGCCTATGATAATTTGTAATTACCTAAATTATCCATCTTTGTAATCAAGATTTTTAAAATTATTTTTATGGTTGTAAACTTGTCAAAGTAGACATCGCCGCATCCGGGAGAAAGTTTTGTTAAAATTGTTAAGTCTTACCGGATTATGACGATAAGGAAATCTGGAATTGATAAGTATATCTTTATCACTATAGGAAGTCTCTGATTATCGGTGTGTTATCTGGTTTTCTATGTCAAAGGTTCTACATGGGCTCTGAGTAGATGCAATATTGGTGTGATGGCCCTTGGGTTTCTTTCTGTTCAATCTCTGTTTTAGTATTGTCTTCTGAATAAATTTCAACCTTATCTATTTCTGGTTTTTGAGTTTCCGTTAATGTAATTCGCTCGCCATGTTTGGGCTCCGCTCCCCTTGTTTTGGACTCCGCTTTGAACTCTCGCTTTGTAATCTCAGTTAATGGTAATATCAATAAAAATCTTTCAGACGGAAAAAAAAACTTGTCAAAGTGAACTTTACATATAGCTAGAAGGAGCCGCATTTCGTGTGTTCGGGCTTCTTAGCCCTTTCGATATGCTTGCGCGTCTTCATGCAAGATTTAGTTAGTATCTCTAACAAATTTTGTTTGGATTAGGCTTGATCGTTAGTTGTGGTTCGTTTGATCTCTTGTTCGAGACTACACTCCATTTGGTTTTACTTTGATTGTGTTTTGGCAAAATCCATGTCGCAGGGCTTTGACTCTGAGGATTTCGTATAGTCTTGGCTTAGATTCCGAGGATCCGGTGGTCCTTCGGCTTTGTCTTTCTTTGTATGCCGTCGGCATTTATAGCTCGATTCTGGATTTCTATCCGATCATTATATTATAACATCAGATGCCAAAAAAAATAAACTTACATATAACTTCTGTCTCCAATCTTTGTAGTTTGTATTTTGATAGCGAGTAGTCAAGTCCAAATACAACAAACATGAATCTATAGCTTTTTAAAAAACAAACACCAATTGTGTCTACAAAATGACACATATTTTATTAATGAAAATGTACAAAGCGGTCATTTTTTTAAGTGTGGTGCTTTATACCAGAAGTTATGTAGATTGGTGTCTTGATTCCTATTGTGTTTGTTTTATTAACATAAACGAATAGTAAGATGATACATCTCGATAGATAAATATACTAAATTTATTCGCTTAACTCGAACAATACCCTTTTTTCCTTAAATTTGGAGATTAATAGGTAATTATTATCGGTATCCATAACTATCCTTATCGTATCTGATATTCGGATGATCCGACCTTTATTTTCACGGGAATACTTCTGGTAATAATAGTTTTAGATACCCGAACTACGTGTGTGGCGTACCCTATCCGATCATATACTCATAGTTCCCAGGCCCGTAAAATCGATATATTGGTCGGCTTTCTCTAATTTCTTGAATGGTATTTGCAAAAAAAAATTGGTGTTCACATTTCAGAATGTTGGAATTAATAGCAATTGCAGGTCCGGTTATCTCATACCGAGAACCGAAAAATGATTTTGAATCAACACTCGTGTGATCTAATTGTCACGTGTGTGGAGAGACTCTAGAGGAAGTAGAGGCTTTGCTGTTAGATCAAAGAGAGAGAGTATAAGATTCTGTTTTCGGTGTGTAGGAGACGTTGTTCTTCATTTTTCCTGATTTCAAAAGCTTGTAGTCTCTTAAGCTCTCAAATTCATTGTGAGAAGCTAAGGTTTGATCTATAGTGGATTGCTGAGATTCTTGGCTTGGAAGGGATCCATATCGGATCGTTTCCATAAACAATTTCGGTGTTCTCTGTTTTTCTGTTTACAAGCAAAGCGAATCATCAAAGTGTTTGGATAACTTGATTTGAGCCGAATCGGAGCTTGAATCCTTGTTGAATCGGTTCGTGTTACATGTCTGAAGCTCAAC